CGTGCCGTCTCGTCTCATCTCGTCTTGTCTTGTCTTGTCTCGTCTCGTGCCGTCTCGTCTCGTGCCGTCTCGTCTCGTCTCGTCTCGTCTCCTCTCCTCTCCTCTCGTCTCGTCTCGTCTCCTCTCCTCTCCTCTCGTTGCACCCGTACCGACCTTTTCTACCTGGCTCTGGCCCTTTCTTTCCTCTCCCTCTCTCCCTCCATCCATCTATTCATCCTTCCCTCCCTCTACCCCCCTCTAGTTCAATTGATCCCCTTACCAGGGTCACAGCGGCATCAACAACTCTGACAGATGCGCTAGCATATCAGCTATATCATCAACGTCTTCCCGTGAAGGTATACTGCCGGAGGAAAGAGCGTCGGATAGATGAAGTTCACGGGATCAGGGATGGAGAAAACAGCTGCGAGCAGAGTTGATATTGACAGAGGAGCAGAGTATGCGTTGATTGAGGGAGGGAATGGCATGAGATTCAGAAGCTACAAATAACCTTTAATGTGTCAAAAGTCGATGAATAACAGCCTAGCGTCACTACCGATCCTCCCTCTCAGCCTGTTCTTCCGCTCGCCAAGTTTGTCCTGCTGTGTTTGTTATCACTGAAAAGTTTCTTCACGAGGAAATCGATGCATGATGAAAAGCGCCCAGGAGCTGAAAGCTGCTGTCATGGGGACCCTTCCACTTGACAACTATCTGGTACGGCCCACCTGGATCCAACGTTAGTGCAACGGCATAGGGAAAGGACATATCTCTTACCGGCATTGAAGAAATCTATCTTTACGTAGTGATATCCCACTGGTAGACGCACCTGACCGTCGACGGTCCGGATACCATGAAGACCTCCGTTGTTGACAACCAGGTCCCCATTCACATAGACGTTCGAGCCGTCATCGGAGCTAGTCTGGAACGTGTATGTTCCCTCCGCTCGCACAGCAATGATTCCAGTCCAGATAGCAACGAAGTTTGTCTGGGGAAACGGTGTATCCAATGGTTTCTTTCCGTTTCCATAGTTTGAAAAGTCGATTGCAAGCAGAGAGTCCTCCGTGTTCGGTTTGACGTTTTCAACGTAAGCAGGTATCGTCCCGATCCCTTGCGAGAAGTGCCAGTACCTCCCATGAAAGCCACTCCGGAGGCCCAGGTTGGAAGGGTCCGGTAGCAGCCCTTCTCGATGGCGAATCAGAACCTGGAGGTTGCAAGAAACCGGCTGGTAGGATGAACCGTAGCTTTTGAGCATGTTCTTGCTGATCAGCTCACCTCGGTTTTGTGAGAACTTGGTGCCGTATGCTGATCCATCGGCGAGAACAACCCCGTCAGTCTCCCAGCCGTACATGCTGGCAACGTAGATGCTCTTGGCGTCGTTGATGGCGATCTGCCAGCCATCGGGGATCTGGAGACTACTCTGCTGGCATGTGGAGTAACAGGTCTTGTCGGGGCAAACCTTACTTCCACCGAGGGTCGCATACTTGAAGCCTTCGAACTCGATGGTGGGGAAGTCAACTTTGTTCGATCGCACGATGAGAATCTGTCGGTTGCACGAGTTTGTCCTCACTCTGCCGTAGGAGTCCCTTTGGAGCACGTTGTTGCCGCAGAATTGTCCGCCGCGCGACCACCTCCTAGTCCACCAGGAGCTCCCATCTGAGAGGATGACACAATCTGTTTCCCACCAGTGATTGCTGATGATGCTCTTGCTGATCGCGTTGTTCGGTGCGATCTCCCATCCGTTGGGAACTGACAAGTACCGTGTCTGACACCGCCTTGGGCACTGGTTGCTGGTACCCATCCTTGTCTGACTGAGAGTAGCGTAGTCCCGATTCTGCAACGAGACTATCCTGTCCGACTTAGCGACAGGGAAGCTCTTGGCAAAGTGGTACGCCGGCACATAGACTTCGCGGTTCTGAGTGTCGGGGCCCCTGTACCTCACGAGCATCTGAATCCCTCCTCCATTCTGGAAGAACTCAGCCTGTGGGTGCAAGTCAAGGCCGGCGAGAAGGAGAGGAAGGGGGCAACCTTGACAAAGTGTACCCCTTGGTTCAGAAAGATGCTTCCCTCCCGCTTGAGAGGTCCGTGCAGACCATCGTTGGCGACAACCTGCCTCCCGTCGACATAAAGGTTGGACCCGTCGTCTGATTGGGTGTAGAAGGTGTATGTTCCACTCTGCAACTCACGCTCAATCTGGAGTTCCAACAAGGACGAAAGCAGGGATACCTGCTTGACAATGATCGCCCCGTACCACAGGCCTGCGATGTAGTCGTTTGGCATGTAGCGGTCAACGTCGTAGAACGAGTATCTGTTGTAATCTTGAATGTATCGCTGGGTGCCTTCTGCATCCGGGATCCGGGACTGCACACGATTCTTGGGGAAGATGGAGAGAGAAGACCCGAGGTGGTAGATCTGAGTATGGAAACCCGGCCTCATGCCCAGCTGCTTGGGATTGAGTCCCTCAACGCACTGCAAGAGAGGCCTGGTCAGTGATGAGAAATGCGCAACGGTCTCCGGAACCTGTGGAGGGACGTCCTTCTTCTTGCAGATGCCTCGGTACTTGAGGTTCTCGCTCGAGGAGATCACGCGCCAGTGGTCTCCTCGATTATTGAAGAATGCGACTGCGTCCCCCTTCCCCTTGGGCTGGTCTTGGGTGAGGTCCCAGGCTGACTTTAAGTCAGTTGTCATAAAGCATCATAGCATGCTCAAGACCGTAGTAACTGACGGAGCTGCCGTCGACCCAACGCCAGCGATCCTGCAGTCAACGGCATGAGCTCAACCAAGGACTTTCTTTAGGCCTCGCGACTACCGAGGGGCTCGAGCGATACATGCCAATGAAGCAAGGCGTGGTGGAGCAGACAGCAGCGGATGCGGTCATTTCTGTCCACAAATCAGTGGCGTTCATGAACATGCAACATCTCCCACCTTGTGCGTCATGAATGCTTGCAAGATTGCCAGATCCTTGCTCGCATTTGGCCTTTGCATCCTAACAGCAACACTTAGCCGTGTTCCATTGCAAACTCGTCTCACCGTCCAAGAGGATGCATCTACGTAGAACCAGTTCACAGGGTTGCTGAATGCAGCATTGACATATCCCGCGTCGCACTTGCAGTCGGTCACTGATTTTGCATTCAAACTTGAGGTAGTGTGTCCTGGACATCGCTGCAAAGTTGTCAGCAAACAACAAACAAACCGTGAGAGAAGGGAATCATTGGAAAGGATTGACTGAGGAAGATGAACACCTTTTGAACCCGTTCTCCAGGACAGAAATAGTCTCCAGGACACGATCTGCAGGAGTTCATAGTCCCGACATATCCAGGCCTGAACGGAAATTGCTTTCAGCACCGGATGCACTCACAGCTCAGTAGTTCTATACTTGCAAGTACACTGCGGCGATCCGGCTGTACTCTGGGAGTGACTGGGGCAGGAATACGATGATCCACCGCCTGTCTCGCACAAGTAAGAACATGGGTGACAAGTAGCTCCTTGGCCTGCCTGGACAGTACGATCCGGCGGGGCATCGAGCGCAGTTCGATCCGAAAGACCCTACAGAGAATAAGGAACAGTTCTGCAAAAAGTGTAGAGAACCGTAGAATCCTGCCGAGCACTTGCAATCCTCGATGGAGGAAGACCGGTATGCACTGGTTCCACCCTCAATGACATCGCAAAAGAGAGTTCAGGTCTAACCTGTCGGTGTTGTCTGGGCAGGCAACCTTGTTCTGACCACCTGGGCAGAAGGATCCTGCAGCACTTCTCAGCTCCTATCTCCATCTGGGCCTCTTCTCCTCTCCCCCCAACACTGACCTGCTGGGCACGACTGGCACTGGCCGTTGGTGTTGCGGTAGTAGCCGGGCTTGCACTTGCAGTCGCTCGCGGACGTGCTCAGAGCATCGCTGCCAACCGTCAGCACCTCCCTGACTTGGCCCTCTCACTCAAGCACCTGCGAGAATGTGTCGGGCAGTAGTTACGTGCTCCGTTGGCTGGGCAGTAGGAGTCCTTCGGACAGGCCGCACACTGAGGTCCCTGCTGGTATCGAGCTGTCTGAAGGTATCCCGGGCTGCACTGGCAGTCGAGCGGGCTATCGCTGCCGGCTGGGGCCTGGGAGTTGGCTGGGCAGGATGACTTCTGTGCCCCTCCCGCGCAGAAGAAGCCGGCCGGGCAAGCCTGGCACGAGTTCGCGTCCGCTCCTGTCCCTCCGTCAGCACTCCTGCCCCTGCACAGCCGCACGCAGAGGCCTCACCGTAGAAGCCCTTGTTACAGGTGCAGTCTTGTATGGAGGATGATCCGGCGGGACTGCGTGCCGGCAGTCAGACCCCACAGCCCAACCCTCTCCAGCCTCTTCTATCCAGCTTGAATCTTTCTTTGCTTCTCTCGATCTACCCTGGTGCCTCCCTTTTTCTATTCAACTTGTGCGTATCATGCAGTACCTGTTGGAGTTGGACGGGCATTCAGCCTTGTTGCTTCCGCCTGAGCAGTAGGATCCTGCGGATGCTCGCATCAATCTCTTGCCCCTCCTCTCATTCCGGACACTGCCGATTCATTCCTCCAACACGTACCACGAGGACAGATCTGGCACTGGCCGTTGGTGTTGCGGTAGTAGCCGGGCTTGCACTTGCAGTCGCTCGCGGACGTGCTCAGAGCATCGCTGCCAACCGTCAGCACCTCCCTGACTTGGCCCTCTCACTCAAGCACCTGCGAGAATGTGTCGGGCAGTAGTTACGTGCTCCGTTGGCTGGGCAGTAGGAGTCCTTCGGACAGGCCGCACACTGAGGTCCCTGCTGGTATCGAGCTGTCTGAAGGTATCCCGGGCTGCACTGGCAGTCGAGCGGGCTATCGCTGCCGGCTGGGGCCTGGGAGTTGGCTGGGCAGGATGACTTCTGTGCCCCTCCCGCGCAGAAGAAGCCGGCCGGGCAAGCCTGGCACGAGTTCGCGTCCGCTCCTGTCCCTCCGTCAGCACTCCTGCCCCTGCACAGCCGCACGCAGAGGCCTCACCGTAGAAGCCCTTGTTACAGGTGCAGTCTTGTATGGAGGAAGATCCGGCGGGGCTGCATGCAGAAGGTCAGGACAGTCGCAACTCCTTCAGTGTTCCCCCACTACGCTTTTGACTTCTCTGAGACTGGTCGCTAAAACCATCTACTCCCTTTTTTTCTCAGATACTCGCAGTATCATCGTCTCTGCACTGCTTTCCTACTTGCACTTATCATACAGACCTGTTGGAGTTGGACGGGCATTCAGCCTTGTTGCTTCCACCTGAGCAGTACGACCCTGCGGACCTCCAATCAATCTCTTTCCCCTTCTCTTATCATTCAGCTCTCACCAGCTGGGCACGTTTGGCACTGCCCGTCGAAGTTGCGGAAGTAGCCAGGCTTGCACTTGCAGTCTTTGGTTGAGATGCTCCCAACGGCGCTGCGGTCGCGCTAATGAGATATGAAGGGGAAGACATCGATTACCTCTGGGTATGTGACGGGCAAGTGGATCGAACCGAAGACCCCGGGCAGTAAGAGTTCACTTGGCATGGCGCACACGTTGGCCCGACGTCCTTGTTGAAGGAACTCTGCTCGAACCCAGCGCTGCACATGCAGAAAGAAGCCTTGCTGCTTCCGGGCGCACTCTCAGAATCTTGCGGGCAAGATTGCACGCGTTTGCCGCCAGGACAGAAATATCCAGATGGACACAATATGCACTGGTGCTTGTCATCTTCTGCAATACCAAGACAGTCATGCCCCAAGAACAGGAGCCTGAGAAGCAAACCATGATATCCTTCATGACAGACACAGTCCTCGATCGAAGAAGATCCAGGATCACTGCAAGTCCACAGTCAAAACCATCGTGGAGACCACTGATATCCATTCAATCTCAAGAGCAAGCATCAACACAAAGGACCAAACCTTGATGAATGTGCTGGACACGATGCTTGATGACTTCCACCTGAGCAGTACGACCCTGCATTCCACCCATCAGTCTGTCTCCTCCTCCTTGAAGCTTTCCACTCCCTCGCATAGCCTCATTACTAACCTGCTGGGCACGACTGGCACTGGCCGTTGGAGTTGAGCACGAAGCCAGCCTCGCACTTGCAGTCGCTCACGGACGTGCTCAGAGCATCGCTGCCAACCATAGACCGTCAGCACCTCCCTGACCTTCCCAAGCACTCTCGCACCTATGAGAATGAGCCATACAACCTTGCTTGGGTCCGCCCCCTGGGCAGTAGGAGTCCTTCGGACAGGCCGCACACTGGGGACCGAGTGAAGCTCCGTTGGATTCAATACGAGAGTCCTCGTAGTATCCAGCGGTGCACTGGCATGCGTCTGGCGAATAGCTCCCAACAGGAGCCTGGGAGTTGGCTGGGCAGGATGACTTCTGTGCCCCTCCCGCGCAGAAGAAGCCGGCCGGGCAAGCCTGGCACGAGTTCGCGTCCGCTCCTGTCCCTCCGTCAGCACTCCTGCCCCTGCACAGCCGCACGCAGAGGCCTCACCGTAGAAGCCCTTGTTACAGGTGCAGTCTTGTATGGAGGATGATCCGGCGGGACTGCGTGCCGGCAGTCAGACCCCACAGCCCAACCCTCTCCAGCCTCTTCTATCCAGCTTGAATCTTTCTTTGCTTCTCTCGATCTACCCTGGTGCCTCCCTTTTTCTATTCAACTTGTGCGTATCATGCAGTACCTGTTGGAGTTGGACGGGCATTCAGCCTTGTTGCTTCCGCCTGAGCAGTAGGATCCTGCGGATGCTCGCATCAGTTTCCTTTTTTTCTACAGCTAATTCCAGGCCTTGACTCTTCATGCTCCCAAAACTCACCAGCTGGGCACGTTTGGCACTGGCCGTTGGAGTTGAAGAAATAGCCGGGCTTGCACTGGCAGTCCTTGGATGACGTGCTGCCTGGGGGGCTGCTGTACTGATGAGGAATGATTCACAACCACAAGATAGACCAACCTTTCAGCGTTGTCAACACATTGAAGATTGCTTTCTCCTCCTGGGCAGTATGTGTTGCTGGGACAGAGCACACACACAGGGGGGATGTTCAAGGCCAACGCCTTGGAAGGCTCGAAGTATCCAGCCTTGCAGGTGCAGTCTTTCGGAGATGTAGACCCGCTCTTGCTCTCAGAATGCTGCGGGCACACCGCAATGCTGTTGTTTCCGGAGCAGTAGCTTCCAGAGGGGCATACTTGACAATCATCCTGCGTCGTTCCGTGGAAACCGGCCACGCATGCGCACTCGGAAGCGCCCTGAGAGACACAATCACTTTGCACAAAGCTAGCAGCGTCAAGAAGCACCTCTGGGCTGTCAGAATGTGCTGGGCATGGGAAAGACTGTTGTCCCCCAGGACAGTACCTAGAAATCGTCCGTTACATTTCACAATCATTGGCTCAAATGCGATAAATTCACATGGACGCTGCACATTCTTGGCAGCTTTTTCCTTTGTTGTAGTGTGCGATTCCGAAGAATCCAGGCGAACAATAGCAATCCGAAGCTGCATACGATCCTTCAAAAGACTGCGAGTTGACCTTTGGTTGCGTCAGCGTTGTTTCACAGGATATGGCTCTGGCACAAACCGGGCAATCGTTAGCAAGTCCATCTGACCCTCCTGGACACCACTGGCCCGGAGGGCATTCTTTGCAATCTCCTAATAGTAGGACATTCAGAAACGTCAAATGAAGAACTTAGATCCAAGACCTGGCTTTCCAAAGTAGCCAGGATCGCAAGGAAGGTTTTTGAGATTATTTCTGCGCAGCATGTCAAAAGTGTCGTGTTTGTGCTATCAAGACTCTTTTGCTCACCTGTCAAACACATTGTAGTATGTGCCCTCCCCAAACGTTAGAGGCGTCCCCTGCATTCGCTTGTTACTTTACAACCCACCTGCCACTGGAACCTACAGCCTCTGTGTGCGTGTGCCCGGTGAAAACACCTTCCGCAAGGCAGATGTCAGAGGTGAAGGTGAGACATCCAAGGACTACCTGTAGTCACATCGTCTGGCCCATCATTTGAGAAGTGCGAGATGATAGCTCTTGGCCTCTGCACGACAGCATCGTCAAGCACCGTCCTCTCTGTTGCGCAAACCTCACCTTGGGAGCCTCCGGGTCTTCCGAGCTCGGCGAGCTCAGGGAAACGAGACTATCGCTTTTATCATGCGCAGAAATCTACAACCGTGAACTTGCCTGGATCTTAGGGGATCATGCTGCTTCTCGTCTTGTGTAGCAGCAAACAGAATGAGGAGAGCTGACATGCAGTCAGGGTAATGTTGGTATGCATATGACGACGCCGCACCTAGTCCAATTGATCCCAATGCGACTAAGTATGCAGGTTTCCTGTTAGACAGTCAGTAAATCTTTAGGGATGGGGAGACACGAAAATAACCTCAATTTCTCCTTGGACGGAGGTATCTGGACCGCAACATACTTAAGATCGCTTCCAAACATGCTGTTGCACACGTGAATCAGTGCATTCTTAGCATGTGCGACTTGATCAGAGCATTCCATGCAGCTTTCCCCTCCCTTCCACAAACTCCATTTCTCTCTCTGTTTGACGCGCGCATGCTGCTGCGTACTTCCCCCCCCGGGGCTCTGCATGCCTGCCGCTGTTGCGCTATTTCGGGCAACAGCCTGGTCTACCGTCACTCAACCACCCCTACCCACTGACCGACTGCCGTTTGCACCCCACGAGGAATTCTCCTGGACCCACCCCTCCGTAAAGCCTAGGCTAGGGGGACCAACTCACTACCCCAACCCAAGTCACCCCATCATGTGGGGTAGTGCGACACAAGGTGGGGTGCAGTAGGATTAGAATGGTAGGGTCATAAGGCTGAAAAGGCGGGGTACTGATGGGGCCCCTACTGCTTCCAACATGTCGATAGGGTGGCTTTCAACCAACAGGGTGGGGGTACTCAAAGGGGTGGGTCATTTGCTATGAAAAGGAGGGGTCAGTTTATTCTATTTGCGGCGGGTCATCACACTGGTGCCCAACGATTTTCGACAAGTCAGGACTCTGGGGCGCGCTCAGCTGCTTCGCCCCGCCAGGGATGGCAGAGCCATGGAGATGCTCGTGGAACTGAGTAGCACATGATGGCGTCGAAGCCGGGCCGGTGAGGTCTGTTGGAAGAAGCATGCTCAATGCCTCATCCTTCTTCATCGTCAGAGACGGGAAAGAGTTGAACTGCGCAGATAGCTGGGAACAACCCCTCTGAAGCACCTTTGAGGAAGGTCAAGGACGAGTATGTGAATCATGGTTTGCGACGATCTACGTCAAGTGCTGGAGCGAAGACCTAGATCCCTCCAACAGGTCTGAGAAAGTGTAAGGGTGTGAGAATGGGAAGGAAACCCTTGGGATTTTTCTCGAGGTTGTAAATCGAGACACGGAATCAGCTTCTCAGTTGATAACATCGAGTAGTTAGGACCCGAAATTTTACGGGTTGCAGATGTCAGAGTGAATGGTTAAGGCACTCCCATTGAAAATGTAGTGTAGGAATTATGTTTGTTAGCGAATAAGCCCCGTGAAGGATCGAGTCATAACAGGGACGAAGGATCATTGGCAGTCACCTGGGCCTGTCTTAAGTGATACGGGATCGGGGTCAGCGATGGTAGAGCTGTTGTCAAATGCTGACGGTAAAACTCTTTCGATTGCCAGGGTCCATAGACGAATACTTCTGTTTCATCGAACCTGGTAGAGTGCCTCGCTAGGTTCCAGGCTTCAATGATTCAATGAAAAAACTTTGCAATCCTTCAGTATCAACGGATACCTAAGTACTGTATCTCCTAGTTTGCCTTTGAATCATGCACTGCGGCAATCGTTCCGTGTCGCCTGGTGCCATGATTGAGCCATGGTCACAGCCAGACGGTCACGGGGTCGTCCTCGCACCACCGTGATCGGACTGACAGCGAGTCTGCCAGTCCATCACCTGTCATGGCCGCCCGGCGGCAATGATCCCGGCGATCAGTGGCCTGTGCCGTGTGCCGCGGCAGGAAGATGCAAGCCTAGCAGTAACAAGGCGGCGGGGCATTCGCAGATCTGTGACTCCCACCGTCACTCAGTCACTGGCAGCTGCCGCCCGCGCATCATGAGTCGGATTCCGAGTCAATGATTCCGACTGGCAGTGTCGCTGTTGGTGAAAGTATCGGATGATCCGATGATCGCCGCCGGAGCCTAGTGACCGTGCCACGCCGCCCCGTCATACTAGGCCGCTAATAAGCCTTGAAGCGGCTGCCAGGAGCCTGATCGGACCGTACAGGCGGGGGGCTGTACAGGCCCGGCCCGACGGTCCGATCCGATCGTACCGTAGTACGGTCCGGTCGGCCGGGCGGACCGTCGGACCGCGCCGCACGGGCCCCACGGGCCAGCCTGGTTCAATGGTTTTCAAGCATGGCATCATGAGTACCACGGTGATCGGACTGAGATTGATTCCCGCCGCCGGGCACGGGGAAGGGGGGGGGGGGGGGGGGGG